TGTTTCCATAAGGGGCGGGGCCATATCTGAAACATACATGCAGATGACCTGGTTTCTGATTATGAATCAGCTTTAAGTCATGTTTATTTGATTTTAGCGTGAGGCGATGGTGAGACTTTCAGGTTAGTACTGTTTGGCACCAGACTAAGAAACACTCAACCTTTCTTAAATATATCCTCATGACTGGTAAAGTCTCGTCTTTGTTTCAAGAAAGCAAAAAGTTTAGAGAAGTAGAGTAGGGTGTGTGTTTATTTCTACATATTTAGATGCTCTATTGGATTCAGTGTTATAATAGTCACATCGAGCGAGTGACTGAGGTGGTAATTTGCAAAATAAACCGGATTAGGCACACATCACTGCAAGAATATTCTCACCCCTCTGTGTGATGTGATGCGTGCGCTCCTGCAGACATGCAGGGCGAACGCAACCACTTGTGGATAGTGTTGATTGGGAGGATGTTGTTGTAGTGAGGGTGGAGAAATGCACAGGATGTTCACTCGATGCTCCCAACACACACAGGCAGCAGAGATAGATGAACCCTGATCAAACCTCCTAAGGTATCCGTCACACTGAGAAGAAAGGCATGCTGGGCTTCTGTAGAGCATGCTGGGAAGCAGGAAGCTGCCTGTTAGCTGACGGTGGAGCACTGCTGCTAAAGGTTGTTTATGGAATTGAGGAAACGTTTAGGGAGTTGTCCAAACTGTTGCTGAAGTCGTTGGGAAATAATAAAAATGAATGAAGTTTTAGCCTAAATAGAGCTGTTTTCTTCCTACTTGTCAAATATATGTTTGAACCCCTTCCTGGATGGATTAAGGGGTTCATAATGATACATAATGATACTATTCATACACATTGGGATGTGTGTGGCTGTAGCAGCTCCAACGTCTATGAGCAGCTATTGTTTAACTTGTTACAGTCGCTGTGTTAAGATTTTTTCACCAAAAAGTAGAAGTCCCGCACTTTGAATTGCATTGACGTGCAAGTGTGTAAGATGTACTTTGAATAGAGGATGGTTTTTCCCAACTTTGTGCACAAGCTAAAGTGAGATGAGTGGTTAGTGGTTCAAAGAAGCTATAGTTGGTTATATACTCGCAGATTAAGAAGATTTTATTGGCAAAATGCGTCTAATTTGAAGTTTTTAAGTTTGGGTTCGATATGATTAATTATCTGGCGACATGGAAAAGATGGATGTATGATTAATTGCTCTTAAACACCATAAACAAAAGACGAGATCGATTATTTATGAATAAAAAATAGTATTTTACCATAACAGCAAGCATTTTAACATCTAGTTTACTGTGAAATGTTTTTTTTTTATTCAAATATTTTGAGCAAATAAAGAAAACAACAAAACAAAAACAAAATGTAAAAAAACTAACCCTAAATAAAAAACAAAAAGTAAATAATAAAGAAAACAGATCAATTGTATTCATTCTTATGTGTAAATCTTAATAATTACCATATATATAAAAATTTAATATAGATTATATGGAAACATACAAACACACATAATCGAGTTAGTGAGAACTCGTGTGGAGGAATACTTTAAGAAATACTTTAAGCATTTCATCCGACATGAATTAAAGTGAAAGAAGGACTATCCTGTTGTGTAAATCAGCTGATCAAACTGTTTTTTTAATCCTTTTGTTTTTTATTCCTACAATTGGTATCCCCTCACCATCCTCTGCAGGACTCGCTGGTCTATCACGTTGCCACAGCAGAAACAAACTAAAGAGGAAACTCTAAATAAAACAAAATAACTTTTTTTTTTTTTCTCAATAAACTCTAACAAAGGAAACAAAAATGTTATTTTACGTTTCAACCAAGAAAATTGCTTAATAATCCCACATTTAAGGCTCTAGTTACATCTCTACATCTCTATTGACTCTAGTTACATCTCTACACTTTTGGGATCTGCTGCAAACAAACCAAACATTTTAACTCAAACAGATGTAAAAGTTTGTTAAACTAAACCAAACCTCCTCCTATTCTGTTTATTATCCACTTTACGTTTACTGTTAAATTATTTTGATTTGTTTCTGTATCTCCTTTCCAAAGTAACCGAGCTTCAGGAGGAGGGGATTAACGCCATCAATCTTCCTCTCAGTCCCTCCCACTACGAGCTGGACCCTGAGGACACCATGCTAGGTAACCCACTCACACACTCATGCACGTCTGTAGACGGATGGTATTTATATGCTAAAATATAAAGACTCATAGATATGGAAGAGGATTAGGGACGCTGAAAAAATAAAAAAAGTTGACTGATTTTTAAATTTTATTTTATGGGGAAAAAAGTCAGAATTCTGAGAAAAGTCAGAATTTTTTTTGTCATTTTATACTGAAATAAAAATTTAAAAATCAGTTAACTTTTTTTATTTTTTCAGTGGCCCTAATCCTCTTCCGTACATAGGTGATAACAAAAGCATGCAGATTGTTTACTGATACCGTTACGGTGGTGTTTTGATGCTAACCCCTTGCTCACACTGGCTCCGGTGCGGTTACCGAGCCGACGGAGACCGCAACTCCCGCACACCCCCTCTCACACCGCCCTTTTGACTACGGTGCGGTGCGGCTCTGCGGCTCCGGCAACAGGTCTGGAGATTTAACAGAAGTTCACTTGAGTTCACGTAACTTCACGCGATAACACGGCCCAAATAAGGATATTTGCGAGAGCTTGTTGCGGAGGGCTCCGGCACGCCGCAAGGATAGCTTTCTTGCGGAATTTTCTGCAGCGCCGGAGTGTCTCGGTAACCGCAGCCGGACAGCTCAGCAGCCGGTGAGAGAGGTTAACGTCTTTTTAATTACTTGGAATCACTGCGGCGCCGCACCCACCGCACCGCAACGGTAAGACCGGAGTCGGTGTGAGCCGCACTTTAAATAGCAGTTTATCTTTTTTAATCACATGCATGGTTAACTAAAGAATAAAGATTGAATATGTTTTGCAAAATTTAACAAGGACTTAAAAGTCCAAAGTAACACTTGTTTAGCTATGTAGTTGGTTGTATTGGGAACGCACTCTAAACTTTGACCACCGACTGCAGTGGCTTGTGGAGAAGGTTTACATATAAGTTATGAAGTGTTATTAAAAGAGTTTGTCCCGAGTGATCTCTTCTCAGGGAAAAGAACAGGAGAGATAGAGCGTCGAGGTGCAGACACAGCGACTATCTTTAACAGACAATATACATTTAAGGCCAGGACACACCAATAACAATTTTGCGTCCGATCCGACAGAAAATCATGTCGGTGGAGGTTGTGGTGTTTTTTGCTCATTGAGAGTCAATGGTGATGGTCACACCCGACACGATTTTAAACAAGGAGGCTGCTTAGGTCTGACTTTTATTCGGACTACGCAGCAATTCAGCTGCAATGTCATGGGTCTGACAGGGAGAGACCCGATTTCAGAGTAAAACACATCCGCTTTGGGGGAAAATACAAAATAAAATCTGTTAATCGCTCAGGGAAAGAGTCAATTATGGAGTTGCACGTTTCACACGTCTTTTCCTTCATAATGTGCGGAAACTAGCAGCAACTAATGGTGCTTCGCTGCCCACGGAGGTCAGCTGTACAAATTGAACTATAGTTTTTTCTGCTTTGAACTGCAATCCCATAATTTTCCCAGCATTTACCACAAGATGTTTAGAAACATGAGAAACTGCCTGGATACCAATGAGTCATTAACTTTATATTTGATGTATTCATTAGAGGAGAATGAGGTGCGCACCATGGTGGACCCCAACTCCAAGAACGATCGCAAACTGCAGGAGCTCATAAAGGTCTGGATTTTAAACCTCTGAGTATTTTTAATGTTTTTATATCAGTAGGAGGGCAGTTTAGACCGGGGAACCCCAGGGTTTATGGAGGGCCCAAATATCTCATGAAATACAGAAATGTGAAGGAAATATATGCACTGTGGAATTCAATAAATTTAAAATGTATGTATTTATTTCTCTAATAAATTACTCAAACATTGTTTTTATTATTTTCTAATGAATATTTATATCATTAAAATGTAAAATTGGACATTTAAATGATTGAATATCCCTTGAAATAATCAAAATGATAAAATAAATGATCAATGTTATTTGAAAATCTTCTGAAATAAAAAAGGAATATAATAACTACACTTTATATGTATAAATGAACATGGAGAGGAGTAAATATATGAATTTTCTCAAGGGAGTTTCTGTCTGTTTTATTATTTTTTTTATAGAGGTCACACAGCAGAATAGCAATAACAGATGTCTGTTATTATAAGTTGTTGAACAATAGTAACCATATTTATTTTTTTTTTTCTATTTGTTTTCAGTTTTGATTCAACTGAAAGCTAAGTTGTAATATCTAAAAAATTATTTTTCTTTTTGCTGTTCAGCTCAACAAACGGGTTAAAAACTTTAATACTATTAATTAAATAAATATCTGTACATGTTTCACTTGTCCTTGAATTTGTGATCCAACTTTTCCTTCTTTCTCTGGGATGTAGGTGCTGATTGATTGGATAAATGACGTCCTGGTTGGGGAGAGGATCATTGTGAAGGATCTAGCTGAAGATCTGTATGATGGACAAGTTCTGCAGAAACTATTTGGTGAGAGTCTAAACTCTTTTCTTATCTTACTCTCTAATCTTATTATTTAAATTTTAGGCTTAGGCTTAGATTTATTTGTCATTTTGTATACACAAGTGTAAAACAAAAAGAAATTTAATAAAAAAATTAAATTACAGTATTTTCCAAACTATAGAGCACAACCATAAGCCACGCCCACTAAATGGTTTGAAAAAAACTTGAATTTTACATATATCAGGTGCACCGGGCTATAAGCCAATGATATCTACTGAACTGTCTCCCACCAAACCTGTAGGGGGAGCTCTACATACAGCCCCTAGACAAGGGACCAAGAAGAATGCTAGCTCCCGTTAGCTTGTTGGTTCGCAGCAGTAACAGCTTTTAATAAAAGATGGGGCTTCATCAGCTCTTTGTTTCAGTTCTGCAGAAGTTGAGCCCAGTCTCTTCATTGGTTCTGCAGCTCTAATGCGGCAAATAAATCGTAAAATATCTGAATTCGGGACATTTGTTCTCCGTGGTGCCTGCTGCTAGCATGTTGTACTTAAATGAAAATTAGCTCCTTATTCTTTCATTTCCATCTTTGACTTCCCTCTCTGTCGATTAGGAAAAATCCACAGAAAAGCTGCACCTTCTTATAAGCTGCATGGTTCAAAGGTTTGGGGAACAAAGTAGCGGCTTATAGTCCAGAAAATACATTAATATTTTTTTTTCTTTGGAGGCATTTAATACGGAACAGCAACCCAGCAGTAATGCCGGTGGGGAAAAGTTGGGATTCAGCCCAATGGCGTAACAACACAAAATAGGCCCGTAAGCAACATTATCTGGGTGGACCCCTTATGACTTACAACATGTGATAAAGGTTCAGGATACGGCGACAGTTCCATAAATCAGCCAAGAAGATACAATTATGCAAATCTGCGCACCTTGAGTGGAACCATTGGTGACAGCGCACCACCACATGTTCTTAAGTTCTTATCGAACCCAGGTGGGTTTAAGAGGAATTTTTCTCACCATTACGTCTGCAAAGAGACGTCCTAATGGACAATTACA